TTCATTACAGAATAAGTTTGTTGACCTTTGGAATACACTGTTGGAAAGTGACGAGTGAGTCATTCGGCTCAGCCGTCTCATTTTAAAGGTGGTAAAAGTGAAGACACTGCTATCATGTACCAGCCACTGAGGTTCCAGTTTGGTAGTCCGGGACAGAATGAAACAAGACCTAGGTTTTAACAGATTGTCTTTCTTGTTTTGGGGCAGAATCTACAGACAGGAAACACCAACAATGGAATATTGGCAGCATGTGAAGTCAAGAATATATGAGGTAAGAAGATATGGGGTAAATGAGGCAAGATTCTCACAGTTCCTAATGAGGACTTTGAGAAAAGTGCGACAGCACAGGGAAGTAAAGCCAGTGAGGGAATCAATGGTAGGCATCTAGGTACCACCACTTGTGCTGACACACGTCGGCACTTGTTTTTGGTTCTGGGCAAAATAATGTTTCAACCCAAAATCTAAACCACAGTACATGAGGATACTTACGCATCAAAGGATATGAAGGGGTAACAAGAATGCTGTGTGTGATTGATAGAACATGGCAGAATTGGTGGTGTGTTATTTCTGAGATTAGGTTATAAAGGGCTAAAGCTTCTTTAGATATTCTTCCCATAATTCTCAAAAAGCTTTCTTACTGGATGTGTGAATGCAGGAAAAAGATAATATGAAATGCTCACCTGGTCCTCTCATTTTGCTTTCCCTGGCTCTGCATGGCTGCAATCAGAGCTGAGACTTTCACTTCCCTTCCTCTGCCCCCACCTGTTCCTCATCACCCAAGTCCCTACCATGGAAACAGAATGAAAGTCTGCTGTTTCCTTTACTCAAGACAGTTACAGTTGAAATGCTAGGGGTGAAATCTTGAGGCTGATTCTTTACATTTTTTGAATTAATTCTTTCGAGGTCAAAAAAGTTCTAACCACTATACTACAACCCTACCTCATCCTACTTGTGGGAAAGTTTAGTAAATTAGGACATTATTCTAGTGGATTAGTTGGCCAGCATGAAGTTGTCATTTGAATAATAATACACTTCGAACCCAAACTCATTTGCTTTCTGAACCATAAAAATCACAATGGGCTTGACATATGTTTCCAAGGAGCTAAAAACTGTCTGCAGAAACCTCCTTTGCTTTCTCGTCTCAACTCAACTCATTTTTTGGATCACAAACAAACACAACAAACAAAACAAACAAAAGCTTAAAATATAGTGTCAATTGACTTCATTATCTACAAAGAGCACCAACATCAGCAATTAATTTGGGAATATGTATTTATTAATTCACTCTTTATATATTTGGTAAAAGCATACTACTTTCTTACTTTCACAGGCCACCAGGAAAATAGAAAAATAAATAAACCTGTCTCTGAATGGTTTACAACCAAGCCAGGTGAGGGTAAGTCCAACAGTTTTTAAAAGAAGACTTATCGTCTCAGGAATTATAATAAGAGTATATAAAGAAGTTAAGGAGATATTTTGTAATAGTTGTTGATTGTCTGAAATTTTTGATTTTTACATAAAGATATCATTAGCCCTTATAATTATGGCTTAACATTTTCACTAAACCAGAAAAGACTGTTATAAACATGAAATTTCCAGAAGAAAAACTTATATAATTGTCTCATTGGGTGGTATTTAGAAATGATCAAAATTATAGGCAACATATAGTTCAAATGAAAATGGGATATTGCATATTCAGAACAGAAATTAGGTACATATTGCATCCCTGGAAAGTTGTGTATTTCATCAATATAAGACTACTGAAGCTATTTTCACATAATTTTCCAAGAATCAAGAGTCATCTTTAGTGTATTCATAACTCTAGAGAATTTAACATTGAATATTTTTATATATTACTTGTTTCTGTTAATTATAGAATTTATTTTATATCAGTTATGTTTGAACAACTAGATTTAAAATTAAATAGCTAGTTCTGTAGTTCTGATATATATATATTTTTTTTTCAAAGATAGCCAGACTATCATACTGTACTATTTTGCTAACATGAGAGGCAAAATCATTAAACATACCCACATTTGCTTTTGAAGGGAAGTGTAGCATTTAGGCATTGTCCTTTATTTAGGTAAAGAGGATGATTTCCAAACTGAAATCCAAATTTAGGAAACAGATGTGTGCATACTAATTGGTTTTGGGAATTTTATGATCCAGGAAGAGCAACACATTAAATAGCTAAAATTAGGAGGGTAACAAACAAACCCCACAAAGCTTGGCCTACCAGTGTAGCTGGGCTGTTACACCAAGAGACGCTGTTAGGCAGAGAGATATAATCACACTGGGATGTGAATGGCAAAAAGTGCTTGAGGGACACCATGAAACACAGTGTGATTTCACCATTATATCTAACTTTGTGTTTCGAAGGATGACGGATGGAGTTAGTAGTCATTCAAATTGTCACACATTTTTATACCAAGCTTTTTATTGTTAGTATTTAAATGCATCAGTGTGATGGGTGAGGAGGTGATTGGAGGAGACCAGAATTTTGCTTCTGGCATGTGGCTTTTATTGATTTTATTTGTTTAAGCATAGGAAAAAAATTTTCATCTTTAAAAAAATCATAATGACGAAAATGTTAATAACCACAAGTTACAAAGAGCTGGCTATGTGTGCGGCACTGTAAAGTATTTTATGTACATCACCTCATTTAATAGCACTTGTGTTCCCTGACTCTCAATTCTTCCCAAACAGTAAAATTCTATTCCAGAACTGCTCATTCAGTGTCTTGTAGCAGAAGGACCACAAAAGGATTTTACCTTACTGACAATTCTGAATTTATAAGGAATCCTTCATCCTGGACTTTTTTGGAGCTACGTTATGCTTTGTGATAATGAACAGGGTGTTTCTGTGCACTGAAGGCAGTGGTGTCTCCATCCTCCTAACCCTATGCCAGGCTCAGACAAAAGAAAGTGTTCTTGGATAATACTGCAGGAGAAAGTACCTTTGTTTTATTTTTTACCGGTAAAACTGCAAAGGTGAGTCAGCCAAGCTTACCTCTCTGTCCTGATTTTCCCCTCGTTCTTGGATTCACCTCTTACCCAGTGCTTATGTGATTTCAGGGCAGGAAGCACGACTTTCCTGCCTCCAGGAAGCAAGCTGGTCCTGCTAATGCAGACACCTTGAAATTCCCCTGAACACTGTTCACTGTTCTGAGACTGCTGTGACAGATCTGTCTTATATACCTTCCTAGCCCAATCCCAAAGAGAAGGCTTGATAAAAACTGGCAAAGAAATAGCAGCCCCAAATATTTTGAGTGGTTCACCATAAATGATTTGCTACTTTTCAGGAGAATCTGACCCCCAGCCTACCCGATGGATGGGGATTCAGTCTTCTGTCCCTTAAGTAGGTAGCGCTACAATTCTGCTCCTTTCAGTGAACCACCAGAAGGCACCTGCCACTACACCCTAAACACTTTTTACAAAGAACTTCCTCATCCTTCTTGCCTTCCTCTGCCTTTCTCCTAAACTTTGTTTTTGTTTTTGGTATTTAGACATGCTGCTTTCTCTGCTCTGGGTGCACTCTAGGATTTGATCTAATTGTCCTGCTGTTCGAGTGTCACTCAGCATTATTCCTGGAAAGATGAATGGGACGTGGGTCAGAGTTCAGCAAGAAGGCATCTGCTCACTTACACGGCGAAGTGGAAGCACTCAGAGGTGATCTTTAATGAAAGGTTGGAAAAGATAGGCTGTTCTCTATCTTTCTGCAGCTAGGGTGACCAAAAAGTGGTCCTTTTCAGGAGGAACATAAAATGAATACACAGGAGGTAGGAATAATTCTGTGGGAAGTTCCCTGCTTGGGGTGCCTTTTCTTCTACAGGGGAGAGAACAGGGTGTTAGACAAGGAGTGTGGTTAAAGAGGGCTGGGACAGTGGAAGATTGTAAATAGGTTCTAACCATTGGCCTGGGCTGCTCACAGGACAATCTCACCAAAGAAGAGTTTCCACTCCACGCGCAGAGTCCGCCCCTGGCCTCAGGTTACCAGAGCCATCTCAGGTTCAGGTTCTCTTCCTGGACTCTCTTCGGGTTGACAGTTCTTCTACTTAACCAAGTATCCAGAGTCCTACTTATGAAGACCTAGACTCTTTCTGGCATTTGACTCAAGCCAGACAATAGCTCCATTGTTCTTTTTGCCCTCCTGAATAGAGCCAATGTCTTCCCCCTTTAATTCGGGTACCAAGAAGGGTTAAGTACGGGGCCCTAGGAGACTCACCTTCCTTTACTCCCCTTCGTCCCTTGGAAGAGGACCATCGTGTGTTCCTCTTTGCTCTCCATCATCAAACCTGTCTGGAGGATTCCAGTGGACGATGCCCTTTTATGCTCTCCACAGAGTGAAACTTGGGATGGGAGAAACACAAATCAGGAAGCTCACTTTAGGTCAGGCTGTCGCCTGAAGCCTGTGGTTCCTCTTGGGCCTCTGGGCAGATGCATCACAGCTGCCCAGGGGATCCCGCTCCCAAACACTAAGAATATCCAGGGCGAGGAGAGCCCCCGTTACCTAAGGCGTGCATCAGAAGGGTCTCCGAGGATGGGTGGGGATCCCGCCACCGGCTTGCAGCGCCCTGGGAGTCCCGGAGTCCCGCGCAGCGCATTTGCGATCGGGTTTCCCTGCTGCCCATCGGGGACTCCGCGCGGCCCTGGGGGCCCGGGTGGGCGCAGTCCTGTCTCCTCTCCGCCTCGCACGCTGGCCCCGAGAGCGCTCGGTGTCCTGCTCTGAGCATGCGCGCCTGGCGCCCTCCCCGCCCCTCCAGCCCCCCTCCTGCCCCCGCCCGCCAGCCTTTTGCTCCTTTCCTTTCATTAAACAAACAGGAGATCCTGAAACCTGGACCCTGCGCAAGCGGCAGCCCCGGGCGGAGGAGGCGGAGGAGGCCGAGAGCAGGATGGGCGCCAGCGGGGATCTGTGATCCGCCTCACCCCGCCCGGCGCGCGCGCACACTAGCACCCCCGCACACTCGCACAAACACACTCGCGTACGCCCGCGCCGCGCGCTCGCCGGCTGGCTCTCCCACGCAGGCAGGCGGAATGCAGCAGTGCCCGGGGAGCGGGTCTCCGGCAGCTGCCTGAATGCGCGTCGCTGCCGGGAGCAAGGCGGCCCAGTAGGGCGCCCAGGAGGACGCTCCGCTGCTGGAGGTGAGTGAGGCGCCCGAGCCAGAGTGGCTGAGGGAAGTCGCTGCGCCCGGGGAGCTCGAGCAGGTTCCAGCCCGGGGCAGCGGAGCAGGTGGCTCGTAGGTTTTAAGGTGCGGACGAGGGCAGAGCCGAGGCTGCACAGGGGAGAGGGTGATGCCTGGCGCTGTCTCCTCCCGCGAGGTGTCAAACTGACCCAGCAGAAAGCAACCACCTCTCTGCTCATAAACTTTCCTCTCCTGTCATTTGGGGAACGTGGAGACAAAGGGGGCGTGGAGGCTCTCTGTCCAGTTCCACCCTCCTGCCTGCATACCGTGCTGCGCCGCAAGCCGGTGTGCGTGGGTGGGCGTGCGGGCCAGGTCGCCCTGCAGGTAGCTGATGCCAAATCTTCCCACCCAGCAGGGGCTGGGATTTCCCTCCTTAGGCTGTAGGCTTTGAGATTGATTTTTACCTCCTATGTGGGCACCTGCCATCCTCCCGCCCTCCCAATCTCTTTCTCCAGGCGCATAGTAGTGGTGTGTGTGTGTGTATGTGTGTGTGTGTGTGCACGCGTGCAAAGGGGGTGTCACCTGCTGGAGGGAGATCTTTAGGCTTTTTTCATTCAGCGCCAGTGCCGGAGGCGCCGCTGGGGTGAGGCGTGGGTCAGTGCGGGATGAAAGATGAGTTACTGAAAGGCTTGCCATAATCACCTAGAAACGCTGGGCGCCAGGATCTCTTCTCCCCGGGGAAGGTGCGGTGCTCATGCATACCGCCGCGGCTGCGCTGGGAGTTGGATGGGGCTGTGGTGGCGGCAGCAGTGACAGCGGCAGCTGGGGCTTCATTTTTGCTCTAAGGTTTTATGAGACACACGTGTGGAATATGTGGACGATTCTAGGTTATAATTTTTCTTTGTGAGAATATCTTTTTTTTTTTTTCCTTTCAACCTGTTTCTTTTTTTTTTTTTTTTCAACCTGTTTCTTGAAAGAGATGTTCTGTCATCTGGTATATATCTGGTGGACAGACATGGTTCTGAATATCTCATCAGGCCATGGAAAATGGTCCTGGAAAAAGGTTTCCTTAAGATGCTAAATCTATTGGGACAGGATCTCAGCGCAGGAAGCCCCTGACTACATCTGGCGAAAGCCTGAAATCTAATGACCCTTTGAAACAGCCAGGCTTCAGTCAGGATGCAAGGAGTCCAGGATCAGGACAAAGGGGAATAACAGCAGACGGAGAGAAGATAGTTATTCAGGAGAAGTGTGACCGTAGGCCAATTAAAGCAAAAGAGAGTCCAGTGTGAGGAGCTTAACTTGGCAGGTTTTACAGGACTTCTATGGTTGGCAGCTCCTGTTCACCGAGTGGTAGTCTGATTTGGTGATATTTACAGTGTCACAACTGGGGCATAAAAGACTTGATTATTCTTGGATTTATCTTTTGCATAATCATAGATAAGTTCTTCAGGTTTAGAAAGTGCGTTGTGTGAAAGTTTCTCCATTTTGACATTTTGTGCCTAGAATGCGGTTGGTCAGGCAGGTCAGGTCAGGCAGGACCACTTTTAGCTCTTTGTACTATGGAGTTTAAGATTTGTAAGGCAAGCCGTGCAGATGTTGGGGGAGAGAGCCTGGGACCTCAGACTCCAAACTCTGATGGCTTTTAGTCATCAGAGGGTTCTCTTCACTTTGGAAGGACAGGTGGATAGGCTGGGGATATGGCTCAGCAGCACAAGTGCCTGCCTGGCAAGTGGAAGGTCTAGAGTTTGTTTCTAGGTACCAAAAAAACAAACAAACAAACAAAAAACCAAAAAAAAAAAAACCAAAAGGACAGAAATGACAGGTGGAAGCCATCTGCTTAGGATAGGGACCTTTCTTTGTTTTTAGTATTTTGCAACTTTGAGGTGGGAGATCCATTTAAAAAGTTCACATATGAAAGAGACCTTGACTCCTATGTGAGCAAAGCCAAAGAGGAAAACAGAGGAGAGGAGAGGGGAGGGGAAGTGAGGAGAGAGTAGAGCAGGAGGAGAATCAAGAAAGGGATGGGTATTACTAAAACAGATTGGTTTTATAATTTTTAGAGGGCTTTAGTAAGACAGAAATCTGAAAATACTCATTTTTTTCTTTTCCAAATAACTGGTGAAGACCTTTCCAGAAATATTTGCAAGTTGAAATTGGCATAGAGGGGGTTTAAAAATAATTGTCAGCATATGTCCTTTTTATTTCTTAGTGAATATTCCCATCATTTTTCTAGAAAATCTTGGCAAGAAAACATCAGGGTTTTTTTTTCTCTTACTAGAGTTTTTAATGCTTTTACTAGATTTGTAAAAATTTGTTCTGTTATGATATATTTCCTCCCCCATCTATAAGATCACATTGTTTTGATTGTATTCAGATTCTATTTACAAGTATTTATTAACTGCATATCCTGATTCTGCATTGGACATCATATAAAATTTATAACATAATTATGTCTTTCAAAGAGTTTGCAATCCAGTTGTAAGTACAAAATCAACACACATGAAGTAATCAGAGTAAGTTGTATTATGTGTATTATACTATGAGCTCTTAACATATATGCTATACATTCCACCTTCTCCTAGATTTCCTTAACATTTAGAAACCATGATTCAGTACTTACTATGTTCTGGAGGTTGGAGGATAAAAAATAAGGAAGTAAAAAAAGTGGTGCCTCCCTTCAAGAAGGGAAAAATAGGTATTAACTAATTAGACTTGACCTGATTAACTATTATAATTGCCTAGTAAATCAAATGCCAACAGTTTAGAGATGTAAGTTAATTTTTCTTCCATTTAGGATTTGAGCAGGTGGTTTTGAGATATTTGAAAAACATAGTTGTTACATGTAGGAAAGGATAGAAGAGACATTCTGGAGAGAGGAAAACGTGTGAGGGTGCTTGGTAAACTAGGGTAACTGTAGGTCAACTATGTGGCTGGAGCCATAGAGAAATGAACAGCACATGGTGATGCTATTTAACAACTAAGGCCATGGAGTCTGGTTAGAGATATGGTCAGGATGCCATGGAGGTACAGAGGTACAATGAAGGGCTGGCGGGAAGATCAAGAAGGTTTCTTGGGGGAGGTTGGTATGAGCTGTATCTAGAACAAGAGAAAGACTTCCAGGCAGAAAAACCTGTGTAAGGCCTAGCATTGCATGCGGCTACAGCTAGAGATGGTGGGGTCTTAGCTTTTTGAAGAGGTACAACATCAAGCCAGAGAAATAAGCAGGGATAAGCAGTGAGTGGAACTATCTTGAGCAAAAGAGCAAAAGAGACTTCTGCATTTGAAGACTGGAAATGCCTGAGATAGAGTAGGGGTTGCATTAGTGAACGATGACTATGACCAAGCGTGGAGGATGAATTGGAGGTGGTGAGGCTGGAGGTAGAAACTCTATTGTGGAACTATTATGGAAGTGATTAGGGTGGTAGAGGAGGAATGGAGAGGAAGAAATACATCTGGGGAGCAAGCAAGAGAAGGAGACTGTTGATATTCCAAGGGTCTCCTTCTATGTGTTCTCTTCGTCCTCCACTTCTACACTATTTACTGACTGGATGGTGAAGCCAAGACATTCACAGTTGTCTTCAGCATTCAGCATAGGCTTGGTGCAGAGTAGGGACTCCATAAATATTTGTTGAATGACTGATTAAATAGCGAGTGAGAAATCCAGTCACAAAGTGATAATTCTGCATCAGAACTCTGGAAGCTAAATCAGACAGTTCCATTTCTCCAAGGTGATCAACTTTGGGAAATCAGTGAAAAAATGTTCCAGGGAGACCACAGATTAATAACAAGGACACATTTTTTCTCAGCTGCTTCCACAAAGAACACCCGTAATCTGAACTGTTATTGGGAAATAGCATTGATCATATTTTTATATTAAAATATGGCTGCCTTGGAGGCAGCAGTAATCCACAATTAATTAATGATCTATAGTAGAATGGGAGTAAATGTGAATTATCTTTTTCTTCTTCCTTGTCAGAATTTCCAGATTTCATGTACTTCACAAGAACTATTAAAAAAAAGTATGGACCAGGAACTTTGCAAACCATAAAGTCTCATTAAAAATCTCACAGCATCTTGGAATCCTAGGATGTGGGCTACACCACTGATGTTCTAGACCTCAGTAGTGCAGCCCTACGAATAAGATCCTTTCTGAACCAAGCCAAATCATGCCAGTTTCCAACCTGAAAATGTAAGTCTGAGATACCAAAGTGGAAAAAAGTATAGTCAGGATTTGTTTTCAAATTGTCTACAGGAAGTGAAGCCCAAAGAGCACCAAAGACAGCACTTTGAGTTTACCACTGAATAAAGAGTTGCCGCAGACTGGGGAGGGAGGTTACTCACAAAGGGGAAAGGCTCAGTGGTGTTATGCAGGAGGTGATTTTGCAATGACTCTGGAGCATCTTGGAAAATACTAGGACAGATGATCCCAGAATAGAATGTCCTCACAGAAAACACCAACTATTGTTCATATCAAAGAGAAGTTAGAAAAATCAAGAAACAAGAGAATACAGAGTAAATCTCAGCATTTAGCAACATTTAGAAATAAAGGAGACGAACAAGCATCTCTAAAGAACATAGGATGGGAATTCTCAAGCACAATGGAAAAGAGCTGACATGACCGTAGAACCCTTGGGAATCATAAGAAGGTCCTATCAGACTTCACAGAAGCAACCTGGGGTGGGTCCGAGTAAGTGATCACATGTGAGATCTTATGTCACCCCACCACATGGGTGAACTCTTTCTTCCCTTTACAGCTGAGGTGGTTGAGACAGTTTTAATTGAAGAGAGATGAAAGGGATTGAAAAATAGAGAATAAAAAAAAGACAATGAACATGAGTTCTCTAGTGATGGAAACAAGGCAGTTTCAGTACAGCAGTGTGTTCAGGGGCATATTCCAGGTCTTAGTGAGGAATGGCAGTCAAAAAATCCAGACAATGCACAGCTATCAGTCATTTATAAAGTTTGCTGGGAGGAGAGTTATGAGACGGTGTGCAGTGAGCTTCAAGGAAGTTCTTA